AAGACTTTTTAAGGCCTTATATTAGGAAAACGTTATTTAAGACTTTTTAAGGACCCGCGGACACCCTGTAAAACGAGTGTGACGTGTGTTGTAAGAGCTCGAGCCTCGACTTGCCTTCTGTTAACTCATGACGTGTGTTTGTGTAACTACGTGTTTTCTTGTCCAGCCACTGTCACACACGCTCAACGTCAACATTCGCTAAATCCCTCTGCGCCAGGAAGGCTTGTCTCGTGTAAAAGCACTGTGATGATGACACATTACTCACACCACCGAGGGACTAACAGAGCTGGTTGGTAAGGTTGAGTCATGCAAAGGCTAATCAAGTAATTTGCTATAAACTTCACAGGTCACATTGAAATTAACATTTAATTTATTAAGAAACCGAGTTAAAACTGCTGAAAGTGACAAAAGATGCTAAATAGATGGTATTGCATTATGCACACCTTATAATTTTTTCCCTCAAGATCATTATGAACATTATATGGATTGAATGTCTTATTATGTTTCCATATATTTATCAGTACAAAATGATCTTGCTCTCTTATAATATATCGGTACTCTTCTTTCTTTAATAGTCCAGAGCATAGTAAAGACTACGGTGACCGAGAAGTGCAAAGCAAATCACAATTCTGAAAACAAAATAACAAATTACAAATGCAAATGCAAGTCTAAAAAACAAAATAACAATTCAGAAAGCACAACAACAATTCAGAAAACATTATAACAAGTCAGAAAACACAATGACAAATTCGAAAACAAAATAACAAGTCAGAAAACACAACGACAAATCAGACAAACCGGAAAAGGTAGGTATAGTTTGAGACAGCGCCATTGGTTTGGGATTACTCACCGCTGACTGGACAAGACATCTGTCAATCAACGTATACAGGGAAGAACCAGCCGAAGAACAGCAGAGTCGTGGTAGAAAGTTCGGAGATGGTATTAAAGTAGCTCAGTTTAAATGTATTGTGAATTGCCCTTACTCTGGAATAAAAAATTCGGGGTGTCTATTTACATTTAGTTAAAAGTGGCTATAAATCATCAGCTCCAGTGGTGCAGATGGATAAGTGCATGCCCTTTGCTTTTTGACGCGATCGATCCGGGTTCGATTCCGCCTTTTGCCGAACTTTTTTTTTCTCCCTTTTCAAATCTCGCATCACATCGTAAAGGCATTTATTTTCA